CAACAGCAACAGCTGCACATGGAACTTTCTGCAAAACAGACCTTGTACTTGCCCATAAAATGTTTAAATAAATACAAAAGAATTAAAATTATCTTACGCATATTAGGTCAAAGTGCAATGAACGAGAAATCAATGGCAAAAGAAATCACAGAAATTATGCAACACATAGAAATTAAACAAAATCCTCTAAAAATAATAAAAATTTTAAAAAATCCTCTCGAACAGTCAGTCACAGAAGAAATCAAGGAACAAATTAGTTCCTACAATGAAATGACAATGCCAGTACAACATACCAGAACCTCTGGAATTTCTCAGAATAACAAATACAAATGGGCAATAGATACATGAAAAAAATTCAGTATCTCTGGCCATTAGGGAAATGCAAATTAAAACAGCACGGAGCAGGGCGGGGATTTAGCTCAGTGGTTCTGCCACCTGCCTCCTAAGTGCAAGGTCATGAGTTCAATACCTGGAACCAAAAAAAAACCCAAAACCAACATGGAGCTATCACCTCACTCCAGAAAGAATGGCCATCATCAAGAAATCAAATAACAATTGCTGGTGAGGCTGTGGAGGTAAAGAAATGCTTATTGGTGGGAACACAAACTAGTAAAAACCTTTACGCAAATCAGTATGGAGATTCCTTAAAAAACTAAAATAAGAAATTTCAATCAACCCAGCTTGCAGGTATAGATACTCCCTTCTAGGTATCTTCCTGAAAGAGTTTAAAGACAGCATATTATAGTGATATATGCATACTCACATTTGCAGCAGCACAATTCACAACAGCTAAATCTTTGAAGCAGCCTGTATGCCCCTCAACAGCTGAGTGGATAAAGAAAATGTGGCATTTACACGTGGCAGAGTATTATTCTACCATGAAGAAGGATAAACTTAAGTCATGTGTAGGAAAATGGATGATCTTGAGACCATAATGTTAAGTTAAATAAATCAGGCACACAAATTTAACTATCATACAGTTTCTCTTATACGAGAAACACAGCTATAAATAAAGAACAAAATAAAAGATAGACCGGGGCCAGGGATATAGCTCAGTGGTACCACCTGCCTCACAAGCACAAGGTCCCAAATTTGATCCTCAGTACCAAAAAATAAATAATAAATAATAAAAGGTAGATACAAAGAAACAGTGCGATAAATCTTTTGCATACGGAAAGCGGATGAAGAGACGGAGGGAGGAGGGTGGAAGAGAAAAAGTGACTAAAAAATTGTAATGGATTATGTACATGTACTGGATTTCCAGGAGGAATGTGATCAGTGTGTACTGCAACTATGAACTAGTAAAAATAAATGAATAAAATCGGGAAAATACTTGAAAAATGATGACTAGAGATTGCAAGTGTTCTTATCACACATACACAAAAAATAAGTATACACAGTAATGTTCAGATTAACTGCCTCAATTTGGCCATCCCGCGATGTACGTCCATCCCAAAACATCATATTGTACACCATAAATATATCCAACTTCCATCAATTAAAAAACACTCCTCCAGGGTAACTGAAACCTTGTACCCTTTGACCAACATCTCCCACCCCGACCTGCCCAGCCTCTGACCACCACCCTGCTCCTTGCCTGTGAGCTCTCCTTTCCTAGATTCTTCCTACAGGGGAGATAATGTGGGACAGCTGTCCCTCAGGATGCTTGGGGGACTGGTTTTAGAACCTCTGCAGATACCAGAGTGTGCAGATGCAGGAGTCTGCTCTATAATCTGCTGTAGTATTTGTATGCAATCTCCACAATGGTCCCTTATACTTTAAATCATCTTTAAATGACCTACAATATCTAATATAATGTACATTGCTGTATGAGTGACTTATCCTATATTGTTCGGGGAATAATGACAAGGAAAACAATCTGTACATGTTTGGTACAAATGTGATTCTTCCCTTAAACACTTTCCATCTGTGGTGGTTGAATTCACGCCTCCAGAACTGGCAGACATGGAGGACCCATCGTGCTGAGGCTTATCTCCTCAGATTCAACCCGAGAGATATTTCTCAACTGTGTCTTCTGCATTTGTGTTCTCCACCTTGTGCCACTGTCCAGCCTCCCTGGGGACCAGACACCACTGTGGAAAGCCTGAGGGTCTCCATGGGGGCCCTTGCCCTCACCCTACTCCCTTTCTGGAGCCCTCTGCCAGTGGGCAGGGCAGTAACCTTGGCTGGGACAGCATGTCCCATTATCTAGGGAGAGCTAGTTTCAGACTCTCCTGGTGGATGGCTGAAACTGCAAAGTACCAAATAGTGTAGAGTTTGTTTTGTAGTACAACCTGCAGCATTGCCACACAGCACCAGAGTCAGATTTCATGTCCTATGCTCTGGCACCTCCTTTGGACCACTACTCTTGTGCTTTGGGGCATTAAATAAAATAAAGGTGCCCGGCGCACGAGTCCTCTGGTAATACAGTGCTCCATCCGGTAAAGAGAATGTTACTCAGTGACAGGCAGGCGGGGAGCACAGACAGCAAGGACGCACTGGGAAAAGGAATGATTCCCATTTTAGGCCAAGTGGGCCGGAAAGGCACAAGATTTCCTCACCTACCCAGAAGGCAAGGAACTGAAAACTTCTTATAGTTTTGTTTTTGTTTGTTTTGGTACTGGGGATTGAACTCCGGTCCTTGCGCTTGCGAGGCAGGCCACCGAACCGCTGAGCTAAATCCCCGGCCCATATTTTCCATTTACTATTTTCAGATCGGGCCAGGGATTTAACTCAATGGTTCTGCTGCCTGCCTCGCAAGCCCCGAGTTCGATCCTCAGGTTCCCCCCAAAAATATTTCAGATGTGACCACAGACAGCAAAAATGTGGATAAGGTGGGGCACTGTACATGGGCCAGCTGACTCTGGCTCTTCAAGAGGAGCTAGTCAGGACAGCGTTCCTTTGGCAAATGCCCCTGGATGCTGGGTGTGGCCAGCAGGCCCACTATTTCCAAGTAACACAGATGGTCTTGCCCTCGCTTGGGAGCAGCATTCCTTCCACGAGGACCAACAGAACATACAGGTCACACTCCAGGTTTATAGAGCAAAGTTTCCCAGTCACAACAGTCAAAGAAAACTGCAGCTCTCTGGGGGGACCCCGTCCAGCGGGGAATAGGAGGTGAGAGCCGCCTCTTATTCGTGGGTCATCAGAGGCCGATCCGATCTTGAATGTCTGTGAAGGAAATCTTTAAGAAGTTAGAGCACATGGCCCAAGTCTGATTTCTGATCAAAGGCTCTTTATTGGCTCAGCAAAACGATTATATACTGTTATCCCAGGGGGGGAAGGTTCAGCAAGCTTATTGGACAGTTCAAACAAATCTTCTACCAATCACATGAGTCACTCAAGCATTTAACCATAAAGGGACAAAGCATTTATCAGCATACAGCAATCAGTATTTTACCAAATGTGGGGAGGGGTAAGTGGGAAGGCGTACATCAACAATTAACCCTATGCAATCTTTAACTTAACAATCTCCAGGGGCAAGCGGGGCAAGGGGAAAACCAATTTTGATACCAAGATTCGTCCTTTTCCCGTTGCTTCTGCCTTTGTTCGAGGCTTTCCTCAACCCTTCTAATGCTATCATCCACCAGGCCCAGTTTATCTTTAAAAAAGCAACATTCTTAAAGAAGGGGGTTGGGGCCAATGGCAATGGGTTTGAACTGAGGTGGTTCTTTCAAAAGCCTGATGGAAAAGGTGAGACCCGGATCACGGCCGCTGATGTAAAGGCGAAGGCCCCACTCAACCTGACGAGTCCAGTGGTATTGTTTGCCGGGCGTGGTGGTGCACGCCCATAATCCCATAAAACTAGTCTGGATTACAGTGAGCTCCAGGTCGACACCCGTAATCCCATAAACCCAGCCTGGATAATCCCATAAACCCAGCCTGGATTACACAGTGAGCTCAGCCTGGATTACAGAGAGCTCCAGGTCAATCTCATCTGCATAGCTGAGACCCTCATCTCAGAAAAGCCAAATAGAGTCATAGATTGTGTCAATGCCTCAATGGTAGAAGAAGTTACTTTTCCAATGTCAAATGCCAGCGGCTCCCACAGAAAACCAAGAGAATCAAGTAGATACAATATGGATTTCACACACGGTCAGCTGTTAGCAAGCTACAAGCCTTCTGCAGGTGGACTTGGCCACCACGGCAGGCAAATGTCACAGCATGCTTCTGTGCTATGGTAAACATATCCCCAAAAAGTCAGTTCTTCCTATCAATGAGCCTGTTTTAGTGAGATCAGTGTTTTGCCTTCCATCTTTTACTTGTGCACGTGACTAACGGATGAGGTCTTTTAGAGAAAGTTTAAAATTTGCCAGGCCCATTTGCCAGAATCAAGGCTAATTTCAGAGAAAAATGTCCCAGGTCTCTGCCTACATCAGTGGCTGCCAGTGGCCCAAGAGAGGAGGTGGCCAGGAGTGAGGCCTAATCACCTGGAAAGGTACCTGGAGTTTCCTCTTCTAGCGCCTCAACCACTCTGGCTTCCCCCAGGAAGGGGGGAAGGGGTTTCCCCCAAGGCCATGGGAACCCCCAAGGCATGACATTTCCATGCACACCCACTTCAATCAAGGAAGGCCTTGGGGTCAGAGAGACCTGCTGGCTCCCAGGGTGCTCTGCCAGCTCCCAGCCCTGGGATGTGTGCTTATTACCCAGCCTCTCCTTGCCTGTTCCATACCTGGGCTGGTGCCTGAAGCCTGCACTCTTTTTAGAGTGAGGTGGGGTCAGACCACAGAGAGTGCTGGCCTGGCTGGGCCTTGGGAAACAAAGCACAGCCTCAGTTCCCACCTTGGACCCAGGAGATGATGTTGCCAAGAGGAAACCTAGACCCAGGAGGGATGAGGGGAAGCTTCCCAGGCCCCACCGGCCAGAGCAGGAAGTTGCCTGGGCTCAGCCTGTTAGCTGAGCAAATAACGCATTCCTCAGAAGATGGGGTGAGGCCCTGGCCCTGGGTATATGAAGTCCTCGGGGTCAGGCTCTGGAAGTTCGCCTTAGGACCTGAGAGTGTCTGCCGATACCATTCTGCCATGAAGCTCACCACCTCTTTTCTGGTGCTCTGCGTGGCTCTGCTCAGCCAGCTCGGTGAGTGCTCCCAGGGAGGCAGCCACCATCAGCACTGCTCTTCCCAGCTCCCTCTCCTGCCAATTCCAGCCTGTGGCCTACAAACCCTGGGCAAGAGGTGTTGGTCCTTGCAGCTTCGACTCTGGGGCCCCTTCCAAGGCTCCCCGTCTCCTTCCTATGGCCTTTCAGGCTTCCGGGGGTCAGTCTGGCCTGTACCCTCGGCCTCTTCTCACACCCCACTCACCCCATGGCCGTGCCAGCACTAGCTTCGGAACACCCATCTGTCTCTGCCTAGTGAATGCCCACTCTTCAAAGGTACAGAATGAACAACACCTCTTTTGAAACCTGCCCTCCAGCCTGCACGGGAGTCAACTTCCCCTTCCTGCAGTTCCAGGGTACCTCCTTTGGCTTCTGCAGCCTTCTCACGGGGCCAAGGCTCTTCTTCCGGGCCACCTCTTGCCACCCTGTCCCCCAGACTCTTCATGGGGCAGCCGTCAGTGAGGGGGTAGGTGGGTGGCGCAGGCTGTGTCCACATCCTCCTGAAGAAAATGCAACTACCTCGAATGCAAATATGATTCTCCCCTCCTGTGTCGGCAGGTGATGCCTTCTTCGTGGAGTCCCTGGTTAAGCCCGTGGCTGAACCCATAGCTGCCCTGGCCCCTGCTGCAGGGGCCGTGCCCAGCCTCCCTAGGCCCTTCAACCCCCTGAAACTCATGCTGGCCAGCCTGGGCATCCCGGTGGAACACCTCATAGATGGTTCCAGGAAGTGTGTTGCTGAGCTGGGTCCCGAGGCAGTGGGTGCAGTGAAGACACTGCTGGTAACAGCCACTCCCCTACCCCCTAGTCCCCTGGGTGTCCCTCCCCGGCAGTCACAGCCCCAGGCAGGGAGACCTTTTCTCCTAATTCCACCACTGGTAGAAGCTCAGGGTCTTTGGCTGTGAATGGGGTTGACCACACCTGAACTGCAGGGGGCTGTAAAGTCGGGGGAGGGGTAACAAGGTGCACTCTCTTGGGGAGCAGTCCATGGACTACGGCCCTGGGGCCAGGATCCACACCACCCACTGGCACAGCCACACACACACACACACACACACACACCCTGGAGTACCTGTGCCTTCCTTTCCAGTCTGAGTGACCCTGGGCAGTCAGAACGAGGGCCCCGCCCCGGCTCCCCTTGGTGGCAGAAAGGGGCTCACTCATGCTTGGCTTTCTTTCCAGGGAGCCCTGACTTTCTTCGGCTAAGCCAAGACTAGAGTTTCCTGACTCAGGACAAGCTGCTGCCCACCTGCAAGGGCTGGAGATGCTGCTTCATCCTGACCACCCCATCTTTCTTAATAAACATGGCCAAGCTTCGTAGGTGATGTTTTCTTGCCTGAAAGCCAATCCTCGTAGGGACAGAGGGCACCACGCTCCAGATTAAGCAGAATGTATGTGTACGGGGAAACAGATGAAGGGGCACTCATATCTGGCAAGTGGTGTAGAGTCAGGGACTTTAAGTGACAGGGACTGAGTTAAACTGATGTGCAAAGTAATGTGGGAATTTTATCCCATTATCTTTTGGGGGGGGGTACTGGGGATTGAACTCGGGTTTTTGTCCTTGCAAGGCAGGCCGCAGAACCACTAAGCTAAATCCCTGGCCCATCCTCTGTAATTCCTTAATAAAGCGTGGAAATTAATCCTTGAAGACTGGCAGAAATACACCAAACACCACCGACTGCTAATACCTGAAGGTTTCATCCCCAGACATATGCTGGCAGGACAGAGCCCATGGAGTTCAGACACCTAAGTCTACCCTGGGGAAGTTGCGGGGTGGGTACCGGGGATCGAACTGGGGTCCTTACACTTGCAAGGCAGGCGGCGGAACCGCTGAACTAAATCCCCAGCCCAGGGGAAAATTTTCTAGTAAACTTTTCTGTTAAAAACATAATTAACTCCATATTGTGCTTCCTGGGAAAAGTTTCTCTATTTTACACCAAAACAAATCTGGGCTTTTCCCATCCCTATTTTGACAAGAATATCCCGGGACTTATACTTTTTTTATTTAAATGCCATTTTAACGATTCACAAATGAGGACAGACAGGACGCCACTTGGATGCAGTTGAAGTTTGAATCTGATTATCAACACATTCCCCAAAAGACCATCAAGGATTATGAATCTTGGTGAATTCCCAGTCGGTACAGCCACAATCAACCCAGCACTTGAGAGGCTAAGGCAGGAGAATCACCACGAATTTAAGGCCAGCCTGGCCTATACAGTCAGTTGAAGGCCAGCCTGAACTACACAGCGAGACCTTGTCTACAAAAAACAAAAAACCAGCCCAATAGTGATTTCCTCCTGTTCTCTCCAGCAGGGTTAGGGTTAGAGGCTGATTCCACTGTGTGCGTGAGTATAAATAGGTCCGGTAGTACTGAAAGCCCCTGACTCACAAATGAGTTCTGTTCTGGGAGAACTGTTTGTAAATTGAATTCACTCGTAAGCCAAGTCTTATGCACTACACCTGTGAAAGTTTGAAACTCAAATGTTCATTAAACCAGGGACTTACAGTGCAACAGGGACACAACTTCAGAGTGGGTATGTGCTGACAGGACCTGCACTCCAAAACCTTAGGGGCAGATGGGTAGGCTTCCATGGTCCATACATATGCCCTAAATTACCTATTCCGACACCACTGGTGGAGGTTCCAGACCACTGTCATCTAACTACTGCAGACACAATGCAACAGGAAACAAAGGCAAGGAAGGACCTGTCTGCCTTGCCTCTAAACCTATCATGCCCAACACTGGAGGTTTATTTCACCTTCCTCAAGAGATCTCCCTGTCCCCGTAACTACGTGTCCTATGACTACTGTGTTCACCTCTTCTTGAGACTGAGGCGCCTGACAGTTGTCCTGGCCAGAGCCAGTCCTGACCGTTCAGATGCCACAGGATGTGACTGTTCTCGCCACCCACCACCTCTGACCCCGGCAACCTGGAGACAAAGCCCTTCCACCCTTTCCTAGCCACGGCGGATCCATACTCAGACATTCCCAAACCAAAATCCTCCCAGCAACAGCACCAGCATGGCAGCTGGCCGCAGCACTCTTCACTCATACCCCCAGTCACAGAGGGAAGAGTCCTGAACGTCAGACAGTGATGGGGACCACGGGATTAGGAGTGTGCCAAGAAAGGGGAAGTATTTAGAGGGGAATAAATGTCTTTTACTGTAAGCCCATTCATTGTGTATTTTGATTAATCACATATACCAAATAAAATCATTTAAAACTGGCCTTGATTGAGCAGAACTGGTGATGAACGTCCAGATGCACAGGGAGCTCGCCAGTGCCAGGTCTTCGGTGAGGAATGCCCAGTTGCACCGGGAGCTCGCCAGAGCCCCAGGCCTTCATCAAGGACCGGCAAGAACCGCCCAGCTGCACGGGGAGCTCACCTGGGGATCAAGCAACCGGTAAGAACCGCCCAGCCGCCCGGGGAGCTCGCCAGAGCCCCAAGCCTTCATCAAGCTACAGGTGAGAATTGCCCAGCTGCATGGGGAGCTCACCTGGGGGTCAAGCAACCGGTGACAGTGAGAACCGCCCAGCCACACGAGCTTGTCAGAGCCGCAGGCCTTCATCAAGTGATCCGTGAGAACCCAGCTGCACAGGGAGCTCACCAGCACCTCAGGCCTTCATCAAGCAGAACTCTGCAGCATCTCCCGCCCCACCTCCAACCCACCCCCACTCTCGGGCTTCCCGCTGTGGCACTACCCAGCACAGGTGGTCACAAAGGTGATTTTACTGAGCTCCAGAGGAAGAACAGAAGTGAACTACAATAAAGGTATATCAGATCCCTGTAGTTGGTTGGTTGGAGGGATCACCACCTTCCAACAGAACTTGGACTATCTTCAGGGGAAGGGCAGCTGGAACCTGCAGTAGAACCTTGCAGAGTTCAACCCTGCAGGAGGCCAGAGAGCACAACTTGGGCCTCCCAGGCAGAATTCAGCCTGAATCTCAGGGGTCTGCCTTGGCTAGCCAAGACTAACTGACTTAGTCTGCACATTGCTGCCCTTCTTATCTACTGTGACAACAGAGATACACCCTGGAAGAGGCTCTTCAAACATTTCTTTACATATTTTCAATAGAATTTTTTTCTCACTGTTGCTCCCCATTGTTATTCATCTCCTTTTCTTCCTGTTCCTGACCTAATTCGGATTTTTTTGTTCTTCCTTAGCTCAAGTATCATCAGTTTCAAAGTATAATTCATAGCTTCCCTATTACCATTAAGTTGTTCTATTCTTGTCTTTGTTCTTGCACTCTGACTTTCCCTCGTCTTCAAGTTTCCTAGACTTTGCGTGATCATCCTGTGTCCTCTGGCTTCACTTGGAACCTTCTCCTATTCTTCCACTTGTCCTAACTATTCCTCTCCTCCTAACTCCTCCTAAGTCCCCATCCTGAAGGGTAAAGTTGCTATATTGAAGAGTTTATTCACTATAAACATATTTTGGGCTGCTCCTTGATTTTGATTTAATTCACATGGTTTAAAGGTGACAGATTACTAACGACCACAAATGGTCAATTTCTAAACTGAGCTCGATGCTATTGTGTTCCTGATTGTTATCAGGCCAAAGGGTGGTGACTGATTTAATGAGCTGTTCTTTCTGATATTATGAAAATGAGTGTCTCTGAGACATAAGAGACTCAAAACCTAAAGAGCAGCTGTATCAGGAAGATCAAAGTACTAACCCAGGAATTAAACCAAGGACAGCCCAACAACAAAAATAAAAATGAGAAAACACTTAAGCAAGACACAGACAGACTTCCAGTTCACCAACAGCAAATTCTAGGGGAAACGAGGTGGAAAAGACTGACATCAACCCACAGGACACCCTGAACTCATAGCACAGGAAGTAAGAAACAAAACAGATCAATCAGGCTCTAGAAATATTCAAAACAGAAATAATTTCCCAGATAACTACAGAGATGGTAAGCACAATGACAGATATGTTTAGAGACTCTACACAGAAACTGACAAAAAAACAGATGAGCTCAGGACCATGACAGAATCCATGAATGCCCAACATAGGAAAGAAATGGAATCCATGAAACAGATTCGACCCATACACAGGAGATTAAAACTCTGCTGAAAGTTTTTGCAGCAGGATAAATGAATGTGAAGATAGAATTTCAGATACAGAAGACAGGATTCCGACCATGAAAAGACATATCTCTTAAAAACAGTAAGGGGTCATGAGAAATCGATCCAACACCTCCTAGATGATGCAAATAAGAATAACATAAGACTGATAGGAATTCATTAAGTAGCAGGAGAAAATACAAATGAATTAGAAAAGTTGTTCACAGAATTAATTACAGAAAACTTCCCAAAAGGAAGGGAAGAATTTGACATACAGGTAAGTGAGGCATATACAACTCCAAGTAGCCATGATAAAAAAAAAAACAAAAAAAAAAACCCTACACCTAGATATACAATACTCAAGATCCCAGAAACCAACAGAAGAACAAAATACTACAAAGTAGTTAGAGAAGAGAAACGAATCACATCATCACATGCAAAGGAAATACCATCAGAATCACAGCAGACTTCAACACAAACCCTCTGGGTCAAGGAGAGCCTAGAGTAAGGTATTTCAAGTCCTAAAAGAAAACAACCTACAACACCTACAACCTAGACTGAACTCTCTTTCAAAATGGTTGGGGAAATAAGATACTTCCATGACAAAGAACACCTGAGAAACTTCATGAATACCACACCAGCCCTACACACAATTCTAAACAATATCCTAGAAAAAGACAATGAAGGTCACAACACCATGAGGTCCAACAAAGCAAATCAACTAGGCAAGGCAAAAAACTAAAGGGAGAAGGGGGTGAAATTAAAAAGAGCCAACAAAAGGACAATAACATGACAATAATAATTCAGTACATTTCAGTTATAAGCATCAATGCGAGTGGCCTCAATTCACCAATCAAAAGAAATCAACTGGCAGAATGGATTAAGCAAAATCCAACCATGTGTTGTACACAAGAAACACACCTAATTCAAAAAGAAACTCACAGACTGAATGTGAAAAGATGGAAAACAGTTCTCCATGTGATAGGAGGCCAAAAATGAGCAGGAGTACCTATCTTATTCACAGACAAAGTAATTTTCAAACCAAAAAACTGATTAAGAGACAAAGGCGGCCAATACATCCTTGCAAATGGATCAATCCAAGAGGAAGAGTTGACAATCATAAATACATATGCAACAAATACTAATGCCAACTATATAAAACAAATATTAAGGGACAGGAAAAACCAAATAAGCATTAATACAATTGTTGGGGGGAGACCTAAATACCCCACTATCACAAATAGACAGATCATCTAGACAAAAAGTCAACAATGAAATACTAGAAATGAACCAAACTTTTGAACAAATGGACTTAAAAGACATCTAGAGAGTGTTTGACCCCACAAAATCAGCATATATATTCTTTTTAGCTGCTAAGGGTCACTGTCCAAAACAGACTACATACTAGCTCACAG